GTCTCAGAGCTAATTAATCACTACACCAGGTTCCCTCAGAGGTAGGTAACTTCAGATTGCAGAATGGCTTGGCCTGGTGCAGTCTGTGTCTCTGAGTTTCTTGATGGCAAGAATGTCTGCAAAGCTGCCTTTCTGCTTTCCATTTTATAAGAGAGATTTCATTTTATACATTTTCTTTCCTGGAAAAGTTAGGATTTGATATCATATTTCCCACATAAGTCCACTGTTTGTTACTGATTGAGGTGTGATGTGCCAGTGGCTGTGACTGAGGTTGTGATGACTTGCCAGACAAGTACATCCCTGTATATCTGTCCTCTGAGTGTTCATAAGCAGTGTGTAAAGGCCTGACATGTGCCTCCTTCCTTCTTCAGCATTCGGGAAATAGCGCAGTCCCACAGAGACATGGAACAGGAACTCGCACATGCTGTCAATGCCAGCTCCAAAGCCATGGAGCGAGTATACGGCAAGCCCAGGACCACAGAGGTAATTGGTGTTTTTGGACCTGACTGCTCCTCACCTTTGTAGCTCTTGGCCTTCTACATGAATGCATTTGTTCTTTTAGGGCTTGAACTGCAGCTTTGTTCTAGAAATGGTGAATAACATCAGAGTTCTGCGCAGTGAGACAGAGCTGCTGCTGGCTGGGAAGATGGCTCTGGTGAGCTGATAAGCAACAACAGGGTTCTGGGTGTATGTGCGATTACCCTTGTCACCAGGGTGTTGGGCACTGAAGGGTAGCAGTTTTCGGTTCAGGGTCCCAAATCTGAAGGAAGAGACTTCAAAACCATGTAGTGTAGCCATTGGGTTGTGGTCACACTCTTTGGCAACATCTCAGCCAGGGTGTAGTCAGATGTTAAAGACCTCTCTTAACTGTATCCATGTAGTGGATAAAACATGTTTCTACCCTCTTCTTATGGCTAGGTGCCAGTCACATCAGGTTTGCTGTGCTTTCATGTCTTACTCAGCATGTGAAACTGGCTGCTGGGTTAACCCTTGGTTTATTGGGCGGAGTGGGTGTGTTGTCAAGCCCTAGGAGCTTGGATGACTGGACACTAGCTTCAGTATGGCTTGGAAGGGCCTTTTGAAGACTCCTAGACTAGAGTCCCATTCTCTACTCCAAAGTGGTACTGTCCTGAATGCTCTAGCTGCTGCCTTAGTGCTCTCCTGTGCTTGTGCAGGAGGAGCATGACCTGCCTGTTTGGTGACAGAAAAACCTAAAGGGACTACAGCTGGCCAGGTGTCAGGGTTGCTGCATGTGGCTTCCCAAAGCCAGCACAGGTTCACCCATCCTCACCTATTCCCTAAGGAAGGGAGGTTTTGGGCTCAAGCCTTACCTTAGCTTCCAGTTCTGCAAAGTTTTTATAGCCATGCTTGAGGAGCTTGATCTAAGCCTTACCCACCTTGCTTGGCTGGTCCAGGCTTGCTGTGGTTAGCAGTTCCATTTTTCTCTCCCTCCCTCTGGAGCAGCAGTTGGATCCCCCTCAGAAGGAACGGCTTGGGACTGCCCTAGTTGAGATAGACCAGCAGCTCAGGAAGCTGACAGACACACCCTGGCTCTGCCAACCCATGGAGCCTGGTGAGGAAGAGGTAAGTTGGTCTTGAGTTTAATGGCTCATGCTGTTCGTGCCTGTGTGCAATGTAGCCCTTGAGGCAGCTTTGGTTTGGAGCCCCTGGTATTCCTTCTGGAGACGTCTCTACTAAAAAGACCCTTGACAAATGTGTCCCCACTGCCACTGAAACAGTCGGGACTTGGGGAGAAGCAGGTAGGAAGATGTGGAGCTAGCCCGCTGCTGTGACTAGATCCATTGCAGCTTCTTGGGGATTGGCAGGGATTGAGCTGATGTGTCCAATCCCCATTCAGTTTGCATCTATGGGGACTTCACATTCCAACTTGGTGCATATCAAATAGTTTGGACAGGCAGGGTTCCAGGGCATATTCTCCCTTGGATAGAATCTTCTGCAGGAGGAGGCAGTAGAGGGAAGCATCTGGCAAGGACAAGCCCTAGGGCTACCTCTGGACTTCTGGTGTCTTAGAGATGGAATAGTCAAGAGAAAAAGTCATCTTGGCCTCCTATAACACAGGAGACAATGTCCTCTTTAACATAGTTACAGAAGGTAAATAATACAAAACAGTACCTCTGCCCAACTTAGTCTGTTGGAACCTTTGGCAGCAGTGTGTAAAAATAAGGATGAGGATGTTGGGGCTTAGAGGTTAAGAACACAAGTATCTTTTCCAGAGGACCTGTGTTTGGTCCCCAGCACCTACATTAGGCAGCTCACAACTATGTCTAACTCCACTTCCATGGGATCCAATGCCCATTTCTGGTCTTGCTGGGCACTCATACATACATGGCTTACATGCAAATAAATAACTTAAACCATGTTTAAGAATCATCCAAAGAAATATACGAGAGAGTAAAACATTTAATGAACATGTTTCTTCCTACCCGCAACCCCCAAGTATAGATTTGGTCTTAGCAAATGAATTCCTCATTCTCAGTGCTTCCTACTCTCTCCAACAGAACGTGATGCTGGATCTTTCTAAACGCAGCCGCAGTGGTAAATTCCGCCTCGTGACCAAGTTTAAAAAGGAGAAAAATAATAAGAACAAAGAAGTTCACAGTAGCCTAGGAGCCCCTGGTACCTGCCCCTCTCCTTCGTGTCTCTCGCTGACTGTCAATACCAGCTGTCCTGACTCAGTTCTCCTGGTCTCTGCTTTTCTCCTCAACCTTGAGACCCTTCCCCTTGGTCCTTGTGCTATGATCCCTAGTCACATTGGCTGCACTAGTCTGTCTTGTAGCTACAAAACCAAACCTTGCTTGCTTCCTTTCTCTATGTTTGGATACTGACTGATATCATGCCCTGCTCAAGTGCACCTTCCATGGAGACTGTGGGGTGATGGGCAACTGAGCTGACCTGCCTACTCTGAATTTGGGGGCTTGAAGTAGGGAGAACGACAACAGAAATGACAAGACAAACTTGGAGACACAAAACTCAGACTTCTGGGGTCCTCTACGTTTGCTCCTTCTGGCAGGCTGCTGATTCCCATTTAATTGACTCACTGATCAAGGTTCCTAAGTCTGGCACTCCAGGCAACCAGTGATTGTGGGTGAAGAAATCAATAGGAAATGGCGCTAAAGAAAATTTACTGATCTCCCCTTGGATCAGTAAATTGGGGATTAAAATGTATCTCAGTGGTCAGCCCAGAGCACTGTGGCTGTGTCTGGCACCTTTGGGGGCCAGGGCTAGATTTGGTGTGGTATCTGTCGCCACTGAGGGCAGCTCCTGTTTGATTTTTCATCTTTGCATGTTTGTCTAGAATTGGGTTTATGTGAATGATGGTGGATCTGACTCTGCATGGCCTCAGTCTCTGCATGTCTCCCTGTAGTGCTCCAACTGTGAGCTCCTCTGGAAGCTGGAAGAAATGCTGGCTTTAGTCACCAAGATGTTCCCATTATATTTGGTGGTATTTAATGCCTCTGGAACTTAGAGGTATCCAAAAGGCTGGTGACCCACCTGGCAGGAGTAGCCAGCACTCCTGCAGTGCATGTCCCTCAGAGGAGGGTGGCTCTGTCTCCTCTGCACTGCTGGAGCACAGTGCCTGTGGTTAGGTGATGGGTTCTAGCTTCTGGGGACATCTTGGGTGCCACTGCTGGGATGTCTTGGGTGCAGGTTGCTGGAGGCATCTTGGGTGCCACTGCTGGGATGTCGTGGGTGCAGGTTGCTGGAGGCATCTTGGGTGCCACTGCTGGGATGTCTTGGGTGCTGGTTGCTGGAGGCATCTTGGGTAGCACTGCTGGGTGTCTTGGTGTTGGCTGCTGGGCTCTGAGCATTCACTGCACTCGTGCTTTTCCGTCTCTGACAGTTCACCTCTGGGGGACAGAGGAGGTTGCTGCCTGGCTGGAGCACCTCAGTCTCTGTGAGTATAAGGACATCTTCACGCGGCACGACATCCGGGGCTCTGAGCTCCTGCACCTGGAGCGGAGGGACCTCAAGGTACTTCACAGGTGTCTTCCTAGAACCCACACCTGGGCTTTTACACACTCCTTTCAGCTATGTCCTCTTCCCTGACCTGGCTGCATCCTAGCATCACCAGCCATCACACAGTTCTTGGACTTGTCTATGTACCTCAGGTTGACCATGGTCCTTGCCTTTATCAATGGTGACATCCTCTGACACAGATAAGCAAGGGCAGGTGCAGACACAATGCGTGAAAGCCTTGGTTTTCTTAGCCACATTATGAAGGTACTATTCTAACATTAGAAACTAGGGCATGCAGCCCTGTGGTCACAGGTTCAGCTGATAAGCTCTAGGTTCCAGTGGCTGGTGGGTCCTACTGTGTTCCATAGGGAGTGAAGATGGAAGAATTGGTTTTCTCAAGCCCAGGAAGAGGGTCAGACTGCTCATCCTTCCCTCTCTGTGCATGTGTGGTCAGGTCTGCACCCATTGCACTCTACTTACATAGCCGAGCCCTGGCCCGTGTGGGCTTAAAGAGCTGTCTTCTGGGCTTTGTTTCTGGTTTGTCCTAAGGTGGCAAAAAGCTACCTGCCACCCACTTGCTGTCAGGCCTCTGTTCTTTGTCTGCTGGCTGTCCTTCATGACAGCAGTCTTTGTAGAGCCACATGTTGGGTATCTGCATGACTGACGTTTGTGCCAATTTCTTCCTATTTCATCTGCTGATATTTTCCTCATTTGTATTTGAAAAAGAGACTGAAAAAACTTGTTGGTGGCAGCCAATCTGTAAAGCCTCTGGCCTGAACTCTCTTCCTGGTATCCATGTTGCCTGACTTCTCTGTTGCAGGATCTCGGCGTGACCAAAGTGGGCCACATGAAGAGGATCCTTTGTGGGATCAAGGAGCTGAGCCGGAGCTCCCCTGCCGCCGAGGTCTAACCTCTGCATTCTCTGCCTGCATCCTCCGCTCCTCCCGAGACTGAGGCCCAGGGAGGATACTGCCACCACTCAGCCCCTGGCCTTTCTCATGGTGCTATTCCTTTTGTTAGTGACAGGAAGCCTGATGCCTGTTGGTTACAGCTTTGGAGTCTTGAACATACCAACACAGCTACCTTTGAGAATACTTTTCCTAGCTGCAGTCATTCGGGGAAGACTGTGTCAATCCACTTGTGGCTCTTGCTGACCTGCCTTGTGGATCACAGGGAATATGGTGAAGCCTGACCGCCCGGCACCTGGCACCTCTGCAGAACCTTCTTACCTGGGCCACATGCTCAGACTGTCCTGTGTACTCCTTTCCAGTGTCCTTTATTGGTTACACTGGGCAGTACCATTTCCACCTCTACTAGGTCTCAGAAGCAGAGTTGGGTCCAGCCTCAGTGGTCCTTACCAGAATGTTCTCTGTGCCTGACAGCCACTCTGTGGTTCTTCACAGCAGCCTTGCAAAGGCTGCCCACTGCTACTGTCCCTTTTGTTCACAAATTTTAATTTTTAAAAACAAAGGTTATGCACTTTCCTGGTTTGAAAGTGACAGGGATATGTTTCCAGGCCTATTATCTGTGAAGGAGGAAAGGAAAGCCCTCCTGCTTAGGCCAGGCCTCGGGCTGTGAGCACGTGGACAGTCCATGTATCTGCTTAGGATGCTAGAGGTGTCTGCAGTCTAGTCTCGGCAGACAAGGATGAGTTTACACTAGCTCAGCGTTATGGTGGAGACCAAGCATGCCATGGGAGAATGAATAGTTGCTAGGGGCAGCCTGGGTTCCACCTCAGGTGGCCCAGAATCTCAGGCTTTGTAGTGACTTCTCATCTGCTGTGAGTCCTGGTGTCCCAGGAGGTGTCTGTGAGGACTCTAACCAGAGCCCACATTGCTGCTGCCCTGCCATTATCTGCTGGGCAGAATTGGCTCTGAAACAGCAGGTGGCACTGTTGGTGGCAAAAGCTCCACAAGACCCAGACTATACTCTCAATGGGTAGTTCCTAGGTGGGGATGCCCTTGGCCTTCATTGCCACTGACTTAACCCTTTTCCCCGCTTTCAGAGATGGCAATCCTCAACAGGGACTTGTATACCAGCTGGAAAGAACTTTAGCTCAGCCTTGGCAGGAGGGCTGCTGGGTTGTCCTCAGCCAGAGAGGAACTCTGCCAGTGCTTTTCTATCCGACATGAGAAGTGCTGAGTTGGACTCTGGGTGGAGCCTTCTGCAGCCCCAGCCAAGGAGGCAGGGTTGAAGTGCTGCTTGTTCTGCAGATGCCTTGATCATCTTCCCTTCATTGGTGACATCTGAGAGCCAGTAGAGTGGAGCATGGGGAGCCTACAGTGCAATTCCTGCTGTATTGTGCCCTAGACCTAGAGTTTCATCAAAGCAACTGCCCGTTATCTGTGGGATCCGTTACATGTCACGTGTACGCTGGGAAAAATCTCTGGTCTGCCTGTGGACCTTGTTGCCTCCATGAAAGCAACCCTGAATGAAAACAGTTGTCACCTTTCCATCTGGAATGTGAAGGCATGGATCATCTGACCTTCGAGAAGTCATAGAGCCTGTGACAGATCAACTGAAATTTAGGTTGGTGGAGGAGGAGAAGCAACTGAGGGCAACACTCAAGTCTTCAGTGGCCCCTTGAGAAAGCATTGCATTTGGGTAAGAGGTGCTGGGAATCAGTTGTTAGTGACCAAAGCAGCAGTGTTATATAGTCAACAAGAAGTGAGAGGTCCAGTCTCTTCAGAGAGGGAGAGAAGGAAAGATCCCTGGGGAATTGGAGAAAAGGTTTTGTGCCTGCAGGTGGGGCTAACCCTCATATTTATAATCTTAATTTATAGTGATCACTTGGAGCAGACGCCTCTTGTATTGTTATGTACATAGTCCACATCAGAGAGTTGTAAATAAGTTCTTCTGTGTATAATAAAAACAAGCCTGTTTTTGATCTTCCACAGTCAGCATTCCTGTCCTCATTCTTGTGCTCTGACAATTGCTTGCTGCTCTGAAAACAGGCTGACTTGGTAGCTATAAAGCAAAACAGAGTCATTGCATTGGGGTTGGGGTGGGGGTGTCTGTTGGATGGGCTGTTCAGTCAGCACAGCCCTGGGTTAGTCATTAGCAACAAAAAAGTCAGTGCAGATGTCTCAGCTGGTGGACTGCAGCAGCTGTTCATGCTTCTTGTCAAGGTGCAATGAATCACTTCCATACACTGTTGTTTGGTTTACTGACCTTAAAAGAGGGATCTGTTTATGTTCCCTTCGGCAGTATGAAGATTCTGCCACCATTGAGTCCCTCATAGTTAAGTCTGATCTAGAGGGAACTAGCAGCTATGAAACCACAGTTTTAGATGGACAGGAAATTCTTGGTACCACTTTGGCCCTGGCCAGATCCTGTTCTCAGAATAGTGAACAGAGCTATGTGACAACCATTTTCTACCAAAATACTTAACCACAAGTCTAGATTTATTTTAAGCCAAAATATACTTATTCCCAAAGCACTATTTCTAATATAAGCCATGTTTGTTGAGTGTCTGAAGTTGCTAGAGCATACAAGTTCTCTTCAAGCAGCAGAACATAAGCAGTCAGTGTATGGCAGAACCAAGGACTGCAACTTTAAAAATGGTTTATTTTATTTTTTTAATAAAGTCTTAGTGTTTTTTCCCCCTCTGTTTAGCCTATTCTATCTCCCAATTAAAAAGAAAACAAAGAAAACCCAACCAAATAGAAAGGCCTGTCAACAGGCTTGGGCTGCAGCCAGCACTTGAGACATGTCTTCTGGCTCCTCCAGGTACTTAAGAGTCAGAGAGCCTCTGGCTCAAGACATAAGCAAAGTGTCTCAGTTTGCACATCAGGACTGTGCCAGAAGCTGGGTTGAAAGGATAATCTAAGGAGCTATGTCAGTTACAGTACAAGAAACAGTAGCCATTACCCAGAGGGCTCAGGTATAATCAAGTAATGTTTACTATTTGGGTCTCCTGGAACCCCTTGGTGTGTAGCTACAAAGACATGGTCACTAGTCCAAGTCCAACATCTTATGATACAAGTGCTTCAACAGAAATGGTCACCTAAAATGACACTGACTCTGGCAAATGGTGTTGGGCAGATGAAGGAAGAACAGGCTACCTGCTGAGTATCAGCACCACCAACATGGCGTATCAGCACCACCAACATGGCTATACCAGAATGTGAAAAACTAGCCAGCAAGGGACAGCTGAAGCCCAGGCCAAAGTTACTTTTTAAACTCTGTCTCTTCCTACCTTAGTTCTCTTACATGAAGACGTGTAAGAACTGATGAGAAGCTGAGACCTTGACAACTCCTCTTAGGAGTGCTGACATAGACTAAGTCAGTCAAGGGTCCCAAACCTGCCAGTTCAGTAACAGATACTGTTTTGATAGCGTATTAGTTACAGTACATGAATACCAGATCTCTTAGATGAGCTATTTACCTGTACTGACTGAGAAGGAAAAGGCCTCAGTTTGCTCAGGACAACTGGGAACCTGGATTTGTTGTGCTAGGCTTTTGTAATGCCCTGCCTCTTGCCAGGCTATAGGTGGTAAACATCACACCAAGGGAACGTCAGCCTGAGCCATGGGTGCCATACTTGGCTCTTCCTGCACAGCTGTCTTAGAGTTCTACTTTGAACTTGGCCCAAGAAGAGGCACATGCTATGGTGAAGGCTGGAACCAAGAATGAATTCAGGACACACATACTCTTTCTTTGCAGCTTCAGCTTTAGATGACTTACTGGTCACCTCAACAGTGTAAATAACGGACCATGTGTCTTACCTATCAGATTTGTCCTCTTTGAACAACTTGCCATTGTCCAGAAGTACATTTTTTGGAAAGAGGCCACTGGGACCAGGTTTGGGATGTCCATACTGACTGGCACAGTATCTGGGTCTGGGCCAGCTCTGCAGCTGCTGTGTCGCAGAAATGGTGATCAGGTACTCTTGCTTGGCCTGAGAAATGTCATCCCTTTGCTTGTCGCAAAGCTGAAGACTTGATATCATTAGCTATGGAGTCAACCAGCTTGTCCACCATAAACCCACAAGGCAGCAGTCATGGAATTGATAGAGTGGTTCTATCTGGAGTACAGTACAATACGCTGCAGGGGCTATCTGAAGCTCGCAACATGGATGGACAGAGAAGCTTCTGGTCCCCGGGGCCGAGTGACCATCTCTGCATTGGAGAACACATCACTGCTCTGTGCACGTAGGACTTCTCGGCTGTGGGAGACAGAAGGTGTCACTGATACACAACCATGGGTGAGGGGCCTATTTAATTTTTTTTTTTAAGATTTACTTATTTTTATATGTATATGAGTGTTTTGTCTACATGCCTGGTGCCTGTGGAAGTCAGAAGAGGGCACTGGGTACCCTGAAACAGGGGTTATAAATGGTGTGAGCCAGCATGTGGGTGCTGGGAACTGAAGCTAGGTCCTGTGTAAAAGCAGCCAAGAGCCATCTCTTCAGCCCCTGTGCCGAAGGTACTTATAATGACTCCCAGATGAATTCCTGATACTAGTGCTCAAGGTAGAACAGGGTTTGCAAATTGGACAGATGTTTTCAAACTGCACACCTGAGGGCCCTGGTTCACTCTCATGCCATCCCTGTGAGAAGGTAGTTCCCCATATCCTGGCTAGACATTCAACAGAGTAACCCTTTTCTCCTGCACATTTTAGGTTGAAAATTAACATTCACAGTGTTCCCAAATCATAATCACACACTTATGTGACAGTTTAGGCATCTCCATTTTGCTCCTTCAGTCCCTGTCCCCAGGTAACTACCACTCTCACCACTTAGCAGACCAGTCTCCACTGTGACTCCCAAACACACAATCATGGCACTGTGGCTGCTGGTCTGTCATTCATACTGCACATGCCCTCTGCAGGTGACTCCCGTGACAGACTCGTGCTAAGACCGAGTTCAAGCTACTGTGCATTGTGGGAACTCCTTCAGTCAATAGTCTTTAAAATACCGGCCCACTTTGGGTGTGATCTCATGTACTATGAGTGCAGACAAAAAGCATGCGTGGCCCTTTTTTTTCTGCCAGATTTGGTTTCAGTTCCCAGTGCACACATAGGACTGTGGATCACTACCCTTACTGTGAGTTTATCCCCAAATAAATAAACCTTTGTTATTCTCCATTCCTGGATATTGTGGAACTCTTTGATACAACTACAATTTGGCGCTCCTTTCTGCAGTGTCTGCGAAAAGTGAGTTTCTGAGGGTACTGCTGTGTGACAAGTGTGTGCGCCTCAGTATGGGAAAACACCTCCAAAGTGGTGTTCCTGCCAGCCGGGCCACTGTACCAGGCACTGTCTTCTTTCCATGGTGCCATCATTTCAGTAATGCTGAAATGTGTTGTGGTTTTAATTGACATTTTGTTAATGAATGAACTTAGTTAAGCATTTTATGTATGCTGACCATTCTGTGAATTCTGTGAATTGTCTGCTCATACTTTTTAATCTGTGTTTTTATTAGCTTGTTGACCTTTCTACTAGCAGGTCTGTTTACGCCAATAGCCCTAGCATTTGACCCAGCCATCAAGCTCACAGAGATATGCTCTACAGATAAGCTAGTTAGTATCTATGCCACCAGTTACTCTGAGGTTCACCTGTGTTTGGCAGCAGAGTGCCAAAATCCCATTTGTGATGGGCTGTCAGTGAAGAGTAGGCATGCTCTGAGAGGGTGTGTAGGTAACAATGATACTGACTATGAAGGTGAGCTCATAATGAGCCCATTGGTAGCTTTTGAATCTGGAAGCTTATAATAACATTAAGTCTCAAAAAATAAGATGGACAAAGTGGGAAGCAGTGCTGGCTGGTAAGGACACAGCCATTCCAGTAGCATGCAAATGGGGTGTGCCTGGCTGAACACAGGACACAGTAACAGCAAGACCAATTCACAACGTTCCATGCACTGTTAGGTGACAGCTAAGGCCCCGCAGAAGATCAGATGACATGTCTGAAAGGGTAGCAAGAACACCAGGTTTCATTCCTGGTGGCCTTTGAGTGGGGCCTGGCCAAGTCTCAGAGTTACCTTTTCTTTTTCTCCAAAGCCAGCTGCTTCTGGTTTTCCTTTCCAATGTCATCTCTGATTGTGCTGAAGTCATCATCATCATCAAACAGGAGATTCTATATTTTGAAACAATGAAGACCAAGTTTTCAGTCAGACCTACATTTAGAACAGGCATGTAGTAACTATTCAAATTAACAAGATACTCAGACTTAACTGATTTTTGAAGAACTCTTAAGACTTTTTTCAGTCAATATTTGCATGTGTGTGCATGCACATTTTATATGCATGCCACAGAATGTATGGAGATCAGAAGATAACTTTTAGAGTCTGTTCTGCCCTTCCTATAGTTGGGAGGATGGCTTAGCAGGTAAGAGTACTTGTGGTTCAAGCATGAGAACCTGAATTCAAATCTCCAGAAACTATGTGGAAAAAGTCAGGCATGTCTGCTCAGAGCTTGCTGGCCACCAGTCTAGTTCCAGGTTCAGTAAAAGAATAAGTGCAAAATGCTAGAGCAGGATACCCAACATCCTCCCCTGGCATCTGTCTACACATACAGACACACACACACGAATAAAATAAATTTAAAGTCTAGACTGGCCCAAAACTTAAAATCCTCCTGCCTCCAACTCCCAAGTCCAAGTCTAAAGCACCATGCCTGTTTTTTTGCTAGTGTTTTATTTAGAGTTAGATTTTTATATTTATTGGGTATGATAGTTTGTATTACCTGTCAACTTGCCAGGATCTAGAATCTCTTGGGGCATGTCTGTGGGGGATATGTTGATTGCCTCAACTATGGTGGGAAGACCCATCTACTACAAGTGGCATCACTCTCTGGACACAGAATCCTGGACTGTGAAATGGAGCAAGGTGAGCAGCAAGCATGTACTCATCACTGTTCCCAACTATGGTTGTGATGTGACAAGGTTTCTCGTGCTCCTGTCCCTGTGACTTCTCCATTATAGGCTGTACTTTGGAACTGTGAGCTACAATGAGCCCTTTCTCCCTTCTGTTAGGGATTTGTATCATAGTGACAGACAAAGAAACTAGGACAAGGGTCATCATAAGCAAGGTGGCCTAAGTCCTTGGCAGTGCTGATCTCAAGGCTCTTCCTCTTTCACACAATGAATTTCTGTCTTTCCCTCTTCTCATTCATTCTCTGAAACAATTTATGTAAAATGAGATTACCTGTTAAGTTTCTCTACAAAACATTTGATCCTTGTGTTTCCAATGGTAAATTCACTTTTAACTCACCTTAATGCCAATAGTGTCTCCATCTTTCAAGTAATATGGTCCTCCTTGCAAAGTATCTTGGTTTTTCTTCTTTTTCCTTTTGGCAACTTGCTGATTCTATTGGAAAATCAAATATCAATAAAATTCGACTTGAAGTTTTCATGGGATCTCTGCCACTGTGAAAAACTTGTTCTATTGTCAGGTCAACCAGCTCTGCTTTCTCTGAGAAAGCTCAACTCACCCAGCTAGATATTGGAAGCCACTCAAACTTTTCAGGAAAATATTTGGCAATTTCAATCTTCTCCACAGGAAGAGAATAGAAATCAGCCACTCTCTGCCTCAAGGAGCCAGCAGTCCATCCTCGGGTGGTGTCCCATACCAGGTCCATTGGCAGGGTGTAGGCCCTCTCACCGGGAATGTGTAGCTGTGTCCTCAGCAGCACATCCCGAGGGCTGAAGACGAGCAAAGTGGGCACCAGGCAAAAGCACAGAAAAGATGAATGCTGCAGAGCATGATGGGCAAGGCTCCCCACCCAAGTCTGCAGTAGAGTTCCTGCAGCAGTGTGACAAGGGGCACATAGAAGACATAGCTGTGTGGCACAAGGCTCTGCTGCTGCTGCTATGAAAGACATTGTTTACAACAAACATTACCCAGAGTCTGGTCACTCCGGATAAAAGGGGTTCAAACCAATCAGATTGTCTGCTGAGAAACTTCTGGAGAAACATGAAAAATATACAGAACAATCACCCATGCTCATAAAATAGAGGTTTGAAAGCCTGTTGGAAAAAAGCTTAGTAGCAATCACAGCACTGGAAAATTCATGAACAAGATGCCCTGTTTTCATTTGCCAATTCAGGAAGCATCTAAATGATAAATACTCAATGTGGATTTGAGGGTGAAATCAATACTCATATGAGTGCTGCGTATGGGACTAGAAAACATCATGACCTCACTTTCAAGGAGAGCAAAGCATTTAAGAGATTCAAAGTATTCATACAAATTGGTCCCTAGTCTGTCTCCCTTTCTACAGATGTGCTCTTAGACTGGGGTTAAGGAAGGGTCGGGCCCGGATGGAACTGAAATGGGGAAAGGGAAGGGAGTACTCACTGATAATCATAAAGGTCATATAAATATGTCCTCATGTGCAAAAAGCACAAAATGCTTTGAGTATAGATGATTTTGGGGTACTTCTTTTGTGTATAAATAATTACTACATCACAGATACTATTGCAGATCTTGGGGCTGCAATGAAAAAAGGAACACTGCTCTCATAAGCACTTATATAATAGACCAGGAGACAGACACCAGCAAGTACATCACTCAGCACACGTGTGTCAACAGGGGCAGAGTGACAGGACCCACTATAAATCACATGCCCTGGGGAGGGCTATGGGTGTGCAGCCCTTAATGTCTCAGATTGTCAAGAGCTCCTTGGGTTTGACAGGAAAAAACACTCACTGCTGTTAATACCAGAAAGCCACACAGATCTCTAGAAAATAATCTAGGTTTTTTTGTTTTTTTTTTTTAAGGCAGGTTCTTGTTACATAGCCTAGGCTGGCATTGAACCTGTGGTACTCCTGCTTCAGCCACACCAGTCACAGCTGGAGTTGTTGGACTATGCAGAAGCAGTGGGAGCACCACATTTCTCACCAGGCTCTTACATTTTTAGGGAAACTGCCACCCTGTGGGAGGTGTGCGACCGGCTTCCTTACCCCAGGTCTTCCTCTTTTTGAAGAAGCTCTAAGCAGAGCTCTGCTCTCCGGCCCAGTCTGTACTCCCTGAGATGAAACAGAGCAACTGAGTAAGTCACTAGGTTTTCTCCAAGCCCCAGGCCCCAATTCTAAACATTTTTCCTGAACAAAAGGGGTGCCTTCTGAGTGCTGCATTCAGAAAAGGAGAACACCTGGAACACTGCTGTGGCTGTTTCTCAGGCACTGGGTCATTCCTCACTATACATGGAGGCCCAGCTCTATGAAGATGGCCAGATGACAATGAAACCTTCCTCTGGCCTTTTGCTTTTTGGTTGATAATTGGACAGACATGAAAGAATATGTTAGGGCTGCTCTTGCTAAAGGAAACTAAAATCAAATGCCTGAAACATTCCCACTAGGGTTCTGGAGGTAGAGCAGCAGGTCACATGTGTGAGCCCTGAATATCAAAGAGCTCTAATTCTTGAGTCACTCGGAAATCCTTTAAGTTATGATCTTGTAGTCTCTAGAGCACAAAGAAAATTCACAGTTCTATGTCTGATCTTAGTATGGAGGCTGATTTTGTCCCAGAGTTAACTTGGGACAAGAAGCTTATCCAATACAAGTTCCTAGGGATGGGTTTTCTGGGAAAATCTGACTCATGGGACAGCTTCCCTGAGGGGCCCTTCTTGCTCTCTAGCCCCTACAGTGACAGCAGGACCAGGAATCCACTGAGACACTCACTTGAGCTGTCGCCAGCCAGTACGCAAGAGCCTGCTGGGACGCTTGTTCTCCACTGTCCAGACCCTAAGCAGGGCTGTGGACTGGACTGCAAGCTTGGAGACAGAGGGCAAGGCCATGGCCTAAGAAAGAAACAGACATTTTGCCTCTGATTTTAAAAGCATTCCAGAGCATCTGAATGAAACACTACATGACTCCAAGGTACAAGCACCTCATTGTTGGAATGTCAATAAATTTATCAGAAACTACAGAAGAGTCTAGTGTGGTAGGACATGTCCACAACCACAGCACTTGGGAGGTGGAGGCAGGAGGATGAGTTTAAGGTCATCCTTAGCTACATGTTTGTATTCCAGGCCAGTCTGAGATAGATATATCATCTTCTGTCTAAAAAATCCAAAATATTACAGAAATATCTCCATCTTAAATGAAGTATATCCTGGTACTTTTTATATTCCTTTCACTGAAACAGACCAGAAAAATGAGCTTTCTATTTCTAAATCCAAAATAAAAAAAACTATTATTTTTAAAATTTGAGACAGGCTCCTGCTTTGCAGCTAATCCCGCCTAGCCTCTTATGTATTGTAATTATAGGTGTGTACCAGCATGTATGGCTGATTTTTTTTGTTGTTATTGTTTGTTGTTTTGAGGCAAGTTCTCTCTACTAGTCCTGGCTGTCCTTGCATTCATTATGTAGGTCAGGCTGGCCTTGAACTCACAGAGATCCATCCATCCACCTCTGCCTCCCAAGTGCTGGAATTAAAGTTATGTACCATTACACTCAAACTGAAAAACTTCTTAATTATGTTTTTACAAAGCCACTTAAGAATCAATTCTACATGGGTGTAACTCATACACGCAGAGCCTGCTTGAGTAAAGCCAAGACTCCTCTTCAGCTTTCATCTACATGAGCACAGTCTGCAAACACATCTTCTCTTTGGTGACAAGACTTTTGGTTTTGAAATATTTAAAAGACTTTTGCTTCAACAGGAAGGTCCAAACTGCATGCTCTAATTTCAAAAGGGCAGGAATCTTTAAGCCCCTTTTACCGGGGGGATGAAGCAGGCGTGGGGAATTATTTTTTTGGCCTAAAAATGGCCACCTTTTATATTTCAACTGAGTACCAGGAATAAAAAAAGCCTTCCCATTTGTTTTCATGGGAATGGAGCCACTGCTTTTCTCAAGGAGGGTTATTTCATTCACTGGGGACACAAAAGGTGCCCACTGCAGGTCATACTAGGCACTGTGTCTGTCCCTTTAGTAGCGGAAGCAGTCTAACAGCACAAGATGCTGTCCCATCACTGTATGCTGTAATATCATCCAGCCTTCCCAGCTGCATGGTGAGAATGTGACATACAAGACAACAAATGTCCAGGTTAGCATCCTAATACAGTCAGCGCTCAGCTGACCAAGGGAAACCCATACAACACAGCTTGGAACTAATGACAAGTGGATCACAATGTACAAACAATATAAATGAAGAACTAAAGGAAATGCTTTATAGATGATTCAAGAAGCCATGTTTCCTAAAAAGTCAAAATGAACATAAGCCACTGGCCCCTGAGGACAGATCCAAACACAAGCACATCATGCCTGTGAGAACTGGGTGAGTGGAAACCACCAGGGCAATGGCACCAACAGATATCAGAAGTGTCAAATGTGGGCTGCCTGCTGATACTTACCCCTGACCATGGCATATAACACATGCCATATCAGGACAGACTGTAATTGGGGGAAGAGGAAATAGAAGAATATATTAATTAATATTTTCTGGGAATAAGCCATATCAACACCAAAGAATGCTTCAGGAAGGGGCCTGACCTTTGACTTCAGTTCCACCAATGTGGCCTCTTCTGAGATCTTCACATCTCCCAAGTAGAGGAGGGAAACGTCTGCAGGCTCGGGGACAGGAGCACCTTCGAAAGGACAGAGATCCTTATTTGGGAAGAACCTAACCTTACTTCATGTTTCTCTGCCATGTTTTCAGTCTGAAAACAGGCTCACTAGAGCACTGTCTTAACCTCTGACCTGAGCCCTTTGTATCTGCTCATGACTTTACTGTTAGCCATTCAGCAGCCAGGGAGTGTGATGGATTACACTTAATGCTATCTCCCTATGGCTGCTTTCCCCCATCCCTCCCTGCCTCACAGAAGACTGCTGGTCAGATATGCTATGCTCTTTTGCTTTCTCAAAACACTTACCTGAACTTTTAATTTTTCTGTGTATTTCCCCATGTGTGTGCATATTTAAGAGTAGGATTTTCAAGAGGAGGTAGGCAGTCGTGGTTTTAGTCTGCCAGTGTCTGCTATGGTAGACTCTATATAGTAAAACCTCAGTAATTATTCATGGAATGAGCAAATCTTAACAATAGGATCTGTGCATGCTTAAAAATAAAACCCAAACCAAAAGACAGTGCCTGGGTGGTGAGCACACAAATCCAGTATTTGGAAGCAGGCATAGAAAGATCACTGATGTCTGGGTCACTCTGATCTATTGTCTGGGCCAGTAAGGGCTACACAGCAAGATCCTGCCTCAAAAAACCATAAACATGGTAGTCAGTGAAGTGGCACAACAGATAAAAGTCCTTTTCTGTGAAAGACTGGTGACCTGAGTTCAAGTTCCTAAAGGTGTCCTACAACTTCCATATATGCCCCAAGAACACACACACACACACACACACACACACACACACACACACACACACACAAGATAAGGTAGGGGAACATGTCAACACACAAAAGATATTATGGTATTATGGGGGAACATGTCAAATATTCTTTCATGGAAAACCATGTAAACACTAGTAACTAAAATTTAAGTTCAGGATATCCACACTCATTTTTATTTTAATTTTATTAATTATATTTCTTTGGAGGTAGAGACCTGGTCAGCTGCCCTCATCAACTTAGACCATGAAACCCAATATGGACAGGTTCAATAGAATTGCCACATATGGGCTGCCCATGCATGCTTCAGCATTGCCAAGGCATAAATTTCATTTTTTCATATTTATTCGATTACTGTGGAGTACCCTGCTAATACATACTAAAAAACTACAGGTTGATTGCACATAATTAAATGAAGAAGTTCTCTTCCTAAGTGGGTTTTGCTAAGTTTTTTTGGCTGGCCTTGAGCTCTTACTCTTCCTGCTTCAGTCTCATTAGAAGTGGGAGGAGAAGTGCATTCTACCACTACCAGCTTACTAGTGGTTCTTAATGTCCCCCAAATATATTATACATATATTTAAAAGTATATATACATTATATATATGTACACACATATACACATATATACATATATGTGTGTGTATTTTATGTGTATGGGTGTTTTGCCTGCAAGCCATCTGTGCACCATGTGCATGCAGGTCTGAGGAGGCAAGAAAAGGGTGTCAGATGCTCTGGAGAGGAGTTACAGATGGTTGTGAGCTACCATGTGGGTGTTGGGAACTGAATTCAGGTCCTTTGGAAGATCAACAAGTGCTCTAACTGTTGAGGCACTGCTCCAGCCCCTCAACCTGACATTTTTGATGTAAGTCCTACAGTTGATTCTCACAGCACTGTTCTTACCTTGGGTGGGAGTAGCTCCCCAGCTGCTATCTTGAGAAGAGGCACAGTTGGAGTGGTCCCAACTCTCGCAGTGTCCTGACAGCCTTGCAGGCTGGTACCACCAGATGGGCACCTTCAAGAAACCCTGAAGAACAGAGTGTTTTAAGATTGAGTCTGCACTCTCACTTCTACAAAGCTACAGGCAGTTGTGAGCTGCCTGCGTTTGTACTGGGAATCAAACTTGGGTTCTTTGTAAAAGCAGTACATGCTGAGTGCTGAGCCATCTTGCCAGCCCTCACACGTACATTTCTACAGTGTTTTCTGAGAAGAAACTGGCTAAATAAATTATAGATCTATGGATGTAGCTCAGTGGCAGAGTGAGAAATTAGCTAGCATAGGCAAGGGCCTCCCTTCTATCCCCAGCACACACAATATAAGTACCTCCAAAATGTACTACCATGTAGTTACTAACAGAATGAAAAACTTCATATGATTGATACAACACATACTTAGAGTGAAATTCAAATGAGAAAACTTGGTAAAAGTCAGGCAAGAGGGTTCATGCCTGTAATCCCACCACTTGGGAAGCTGAAACAAAAGACTGCCATGAATTCAAAGTTAGCATGGGCTACATACAAAATATGGTATATAGCATATAATAATTTGTGTAAATGAAAAAATATACACATGTGTGTACATGTATACTGTATAATATAGAACACATACTTGAATGTACACACACCAAAATGTAACCTCTGGAGTCTACAGATAAAATTGGATGTCTACATGGAGGACTGGGATGGTGAGGGCAGGTAAGAGGAGACCTTCCAATATTTCCTGGCCCAACATTTTAGGTATTTGTAATTTTATATCAAATATCTATTCAAACATTAACTTTAAAGATCACTGTGCAAAGTAAATAAGACTCTATGAAATTATGAAAAAGAAAAAAAATCCGATATGTGATCCTCGAGACATGGTTAAGGGCATCCAAACACAGAACCTGAGTTTAAAATAATGAAAAGATGTGATGCTTCCTTGGACAGCGCAAAGGATGCACACCCTCGTTAACTCACAGCTTATAAATATGCACACGCTGAGCTCCCTTTTCCCCTCCTTTCCTTTTTCTTTTTCTTTTGAGACAGGATCGCACTGTCCTCCTGTTTCAACCTCACTGGACTATAATGCTTGGTTACAGTACATTCTTCTTAGAAGAATACACAGAAAAATGGGGGGAAAGACATGGGTGTGACTCCTGCTTTCTACTTTAGAGCTTTATTTATCATCTGACTCAGTTTTCTATGCCGTGTGTATTTTCTAATAAATAAATGTCATTTATCTGAACATTGGAATTTGGACATTTCATTTTTCACATAGCTAAATGAAAATAAATAATATTTTTATTTTATTTAGAGGTTAGGAAGGAAATCAGACTGATTGGTAAGATTTTGGCAAAGTTATCTATGTTTTTACGACTGCCTATATTTCCTCATTTCCCCATCATCATAGTAATCAGAAAACAGTAACCATTGCTTACAAAATGCTATTTAGAAACAATATCTTACCGGAGGAGGAAGTTTTCCTTCAGTTAGAAGTAAAGTATCACCAGAACATATCATGAGCTCCTTCAGTGTTGCATCCTGGGAACATAGAAATTCTTTTTGTCATGACTTCTGAAAGGAACAAAGAGACCACTGGATCTTTTAAAGTGTCATGCTTCTATCACTTACTCAGAGGTAAAACAGTGGAGCAGACACTGAGGACAAAGGAGATAAAACAGACTATAAACTGTGGGTACGAACCAGAAGGACCACGAAAGATCTGAGGAAAGAGAATGATTTGTGGAATGTGAACAATAAGTGATTGTGGGAAAGGGTTGGATTTGGAAAACTGGAGAAAATAAGAGGAGGAAGTTTTTTTATGAAAAAAAAAAGAACAAAGGCAAAGTCAGGGCTGACAACAGTGACCTATTTGGGTTAAGAGCTGAGAGATGGGAAGGAGTGGACAGCACCAGGTGACAAGCAGCTGGGAGTGAAGTATAGGAGTGGACATTGCCAGAGGTGTGGGATAGAAACAGAGCCTCGAAGATGGTTTGCTCACTGTGTATGATGCGGTAGGCAACACCTGCTGGGCCAGGGAAACTGTTGAAGTTATTTAGTTAAGAGGAAAGAAAAGCTTCAAGTGGCAGTCTGGTGGTGAAAGGGGGCAAGGAGAGAGTGAAAAAGGCCAGCAGGCTTTGAAGGCCAGGACTAAATCTGAGAAAAAGAGAGACAGTATGAAGACAAGGACGGGGAAGAGATTGTATAGCTTGGAAGGACACTGCTTTGAAGGCAATGCATTTGCTTTGAGATAAACTGTTTGACACAGATTTGGGAACTGATTATGAAGAAAATATCCAGGCATGATGGTAAATGCCTGCAATTCTAGCACTTGGCGGGCAGAGACAGGAAGATGGAAGCTAAAGGCCAGCCTAGGGTAGGTAGTAATATACTGTCTGGAAAAACAACAATAGAAAAGTGAAGAGGCTACCTAATTTTAAACCTCAGGATTCTCTGAGGCCTGCTTCTTCTGTTGTCCAACTCCTCCAAGACTCAAGAACAGGTTCAGTGGACTTTACAAACTGGTAAAGGGTGCCCCAGTGGAAGCCCCAATATGCTTGTTTAAAAATGTTTTACTGTAAAACCACTGCGGATTCCTAGACAGTGAGAAGGCATGCAGAGGGACTGTGCCAACCACAAGACAGCAGGAAGGCTGGCAGAGGGATAGCACTGACCACAGCTATCTAAGATGTCACAGAGCTTCATTTGGTCACCTGCTAAGAATGTGGGTGAGGAGGTCTGATGCAATTTAAGACCAACAAATGGACTAATTGGATTCCAAATACATAGACATAATCCTTCCTGCTGCTGGACCATGTAACTGGCTGGTAGGGGTATTTATTTACAGAGAAAGTATGAAATTAAAGTATTTGGGAGATGAAGTTTCTGAGTGTCTTCAAAGGCTTTCCTATATCCACATGCCATTTGCTCTCTGAAGCTCTTTGCTTTCTGTGAACTACTCTTTATGCATTCCTGTTCATCAGAGGGATTCAACACTCATGTCAGAAATGCTTCTGCTTAGCCCAGACGTCATTTATCACAAAACCAGTTGGAAAAAGTGAACATAGACAGAGACATTCATGGACTCTTTTTTTGTATTCTAAAAAAGCTTTCTTTAGAATTACTTTCTATAACAGGAAGAGGGAATTGTGCATGAAATATAAAATAAACCTAACCATTTTTTTAAAGAGCAAAATGTAGACAATGATGGGCTGGCAAGACAACTCCGTGTGGTGAAGGAGTTTGCCACTCAAGCCAGGTACACTTAGGACCCACATAAAGACAGAGTGAGAGAGGTTGTCCTTTGGCTTCTAGTGGCCTGCTCTAGTACATACAGCATGTCCCAGCCCCCTATCACATAGGCAATATAGAAATAAAATAAAGTATTTTTTTTAAAACCTAGAGAAAGGATCTTACCTCTTCACATAAAGGTTCCCCAGCTTCATAGCACCAATCCATTTTCCGCAAGTGCCACATCTCTCCTAGGAGGGAATTAGCACCAAGATGTAGAATTCTAGAGAAGCTTTAAGAAGGGTACGCAGGAATATCCTTCTAGAGAAAACAGGCAGTAGTGTGACCTCATCCAGTAACAGGATCATTTGTATTGAAAATTATGTCTTCCACAATATGAAAAATACTAAGTTGTTTCTTCAACTTCAGTTTGCTTTTCTCCCCGCAAGAACTTATAAGTCAAAACTACATACTTACTGGGAATGTAGCCCAGGAGCAATACTTAGCTGCCAAGTGCAAGCTCCTGGATCCACCCACACTGCAGAGTTGGGCACAAAGTAAACTAAAAAGAACACTTGGCATAGAGTAAACCCTGTGCTGCAGGGTTTACTTTGTACCTTTGCAACTTAATACTCACATGTAGGCTATGCCATATCAGTGCCTCCCTTAAGTATAGAATCTCTTCTGAAATCCTAAAGAAGTTGAATCTGATTTTGCTGTTGCACATGGGAAATTTCTAAGGTGTACAGGAAATTATCCCCATTTACTTAGCAGTTAATCTAATGAAAATAGTACTTCCTGAAAGACATGTTCAAGAAGTGGATGTGAGTATTTACAAATGTTAAATACACTTTGACCAGCGTTTTCTTTTTCAGTAGACTAGTTACATTAGTGAAATGACAGTTTCTTTTTAAAAAATTATTTCTTTTCTGTGGGGAAAATATTGAATGGGGGAAGTTAAAAACTTTGATTATTAAAAGAATAGCAATGGGGCTGGAGAGATAGCTCAGCAATTAAGAACACTAGCTGCTTTTCCAGAGGTCCTGAGTTTAATTCCGAGCAACCACATAACTATCTGTAACGAGATCTGGTGCCCTCTTCTGACTTGCAGGCATATATGCAGGCAGAACACTGCATAATAAATAAATAAATCTTTAAAAAATAAAATAATAGTAATGTTGATAAGTAAATATACTGAACAGGCAAAGGAATAGTTACTTGAAGGTAAATAAGTGCCCCATGTTTGACTCTCCACTACCCTTTTTTTTTTTTTTTTGTAAGAACCTGGTTAGCTGTTAGCACTGGTTTAACCACAGTTTAGATTTGTCAACTAACTTCTTTCTTTCTTCCTTTCCTCTTTTTAGGGTGGGGAGGGGCAGGTGGGTAGGGGATCAAATCAAGGGCTTTGAACACGCTAGGGAAGTATTCTACCACTGAGATGCATCATCAGCTCTTGCTTTGAGACAAGGTTTTGTTATGTTGCCTAGAAGTTTTGTTTGCTTTTTGAGACAGGGTCTCTCTACATAACCTTGGCTGTCCTGGAACTAATTCTGTAGACTAGCCTGGCCTGGAACTCACAGAGATCCACCTGCCTATGCTTCCCAGTACTGGGGTTAAAGGCGTGTGCCATCATGCCCAGGGGCCTACAAGTTTTGATCTTCCTGCTTCTGCCTTCAAATGCTGGGAATATAGAGATGGGGCAGCACCCTGGGCCCTTATACTAATTTTAAAAATTAATCTAAGTATCTTTTTAAAAAAATCATCAATGAGCATGGCAATGGTGGCACACGCCTCTAATTCCAGCACTCAGGAGGTAGAGGCAGGTGGATCTCTGAGTTCTAGGACAGCCAGGGCTATATGGGAAAACCCTGTCTCAGGAAAAAAAATTCACTAATGAGTTACAAGCAAATGCCATCTCTTCACTGCACTGCACAACAACAAGAAGCTGGGTTCTCAAAACAGAGAAATGCTCCCCAGTGAATGTCTGGGAATGCCTTCTAGCTTTCTGAAGCCTCTTTGAAGCTTCCTCATGCCAAACTGGTGACTAGGTAGAGATCCTTATGCTGTAGCACTGCTGCTGAGGAAAGCCTTGCATTGAGAGTAGATTAACTTCCCTCCCAAGACAGTCAGGACTTCTGCCTACAGAGAAGCCTGAGGCCAGGAGAGCACTCTAAAGAGCAGTATGGTGCCTGCCAAGCTTACTGATACTTTCAATTTTCTTCTACTTACTATTTTCTTCATTTGTATTATATTTTCTAATTTATAACACAAAATATTGAAATAAACAGAGTGCAATTAAATTTTGAATTACTGTGATTTTTAAAAACATCAGTAAAAGACCTGCCTGAACAGTCCCAGGTGGTAGAAACCTTAGTTTTCTCTCTTCTTCAGCTTTGCTGAACCTAATGTTAATTATCTTCACTTAGCACTAATCTGTCTCTACTTTTAGTATGCAAATAAGAACCAGGAGAATTTGTTATGTACTAACAAAATTTAAGCTATTATTTTTTCCTCACACTCTGTAAAATATTTTTTTACAGCTCCCACAGAAGGAAGAAAGCTTGAGAATTCATCATGAAGCTTTTAGATAACTGTTTTAAAGTATGCAGATAAGATTATATTATCAGGGTAAATCACTTACCTTGCTGACCTGACTTCTCCAGCATTATCTTTAAACACTGTGAAAAAGAAAAAACTACCTTCAATGTTAGTTTTCTGTTTCTGATTTACATAGTATGAGGAGAAACCTGGAGCCCGGGACTATTTAAGTCTGATTCTATATTTTGTTGTTCTTGGATTAAAAACACAGAATTTTGGTGATTTGCAAGTTAGCTCTCCTCTAGGAGCTAAGGCCAATCCAGATGGGGAAATAGTTTTTGCCACTTGCAACCAGGACTTAGTTTAGAGTTCTCTTCACAATACTAGGCCTATTGGGTGGTGCACACTTGGAATTCTAGCCACTAAGGGTTAAGTAACCAGCAATGCAGACCAAACCAGACATTGAATTCACGGACTTCTTAAAAGGACAGACAGGGTACACATTACCAAGTTTCAGGTACACAACCACTTAGGAATCCTACAAAGAGAGACCAGCCTGAACTAACACCCAGGAAATTCCACACAAACTCACAGGAAAGAACTATAGGGGCCATGATCTCACAGCACAATGTAAAACACCAGACACTTGCCAACGATCAAAGAAAACAAAAGAATAATTAATAACACCCAACTTCCTAAGGAAAAATACTCCTAAACCAAATTTATTCAAAAGATCAAAGTTTAGGTGACATTACCTAAGAGCAAAGAGAAGCGGAATGCAGCTTCTCCAGTGACTCGAGTTCTAGTTTAAGAAGGAAAGCAGAACACATGTCTGATTTTTTTGGTCCCTAGCATTCTACTACAGGCCAGGCAACCAGTTATTTTCTTGTAGAGTCTGCATTATGTGAGCATGTAGACTCCATGTAACTATCTATATAGGTAGTAGGTTCTTGCAATGTAACCCTGCCTAGCCTGGCCTCACTATGTAGCTCAGGCTGCCTCAGACTTGCAATACTTCTGCTTCAGCTTCCTGGGTGTCTGGATTAGAGTATACCTTTGTTTAATTTTTTTCTCTTCAAATACCTTTCTGAATTTTTGTAAGTTTCCTTCCATAGAACTTTAGTTATTCTCCCTGAAGTTCAACTGTCCCACTCTGACAAGCGGACCTCAGTCTCTACGGCAGCTCCATTGTCTTTTGTGAAGACATGCTGCAGCTTGTCATAGACTTTCCTGACCTACACAAGAACCAGCCCTTACTCCAGGATGTTCTGGTTTCTCCTAGAACCAAATAGCTAAGTCTAGCAGCTATCCCCTGGATGCTGGGGCTTCTTGCTGTGGCCAAGATGCTCAGGGATTGTAAACTGTGACAGGGAATGAAATGAGAAATATATAAGTTTTAAGAGAAAATAGATGCAGTCTGTTTAGACTCTTCTAGTTCAAACATAGGAGTGTAGGCTTACTGAAAATCCCTATTCTTAATGAAACCAATACAATTATTTATTTGTTTTTTCAAAACACATAAACATACAAAAACACTCAACCCTGCTATGTGATTTTTTTTAAAATGTATTTTAAGTAGAAAATGTATCAAAATGTTAATAGTAGTGGGATAGGAGACAATAAAGGATTTTAGTATTTTTCCTTTAAACCCATTTCTTGCTGTTTTGAAACAGGGTTTTCTGTCACTCAGGCTTGAACTCCTATGTAGATGAAGATGCTTCTTCCACCTTCTAAGTGCTGGGATTGCAGGTGTGTGCCACCCTGTCTGCATAGCTCAAATTTCCATAGTATTATCGATAATCAGAAAAGTAAAAAGTAACAGTAACAATCTTATTTAAAAGTCCCAGTTGGTTTACCAGTCTTCTGAATTGCCACTAACGAGGACAAACAAATCCTGGAAGTATATTATGTAAGCCCTCAGCTTATGACTTCCAGAACCTGGCACAGGATACTATGGCCTCCAAGCCCACAGTGATTACTCACATCTTTTACTGAGAGTGTTTCTTCTACTATGATTTCCATCTCTGCCCCAGGATGAATGTCAGTCCCCAGAGCAAAAAACAGGAACAGCTATGAGCAAGACAGAAGTGCGAAAATAATTTCCCCTGAATTGAAATATTCTACAAGTCTATTATTTATTTCCAAAAAAGTAAAACCAAATGTCCATAGAGCATTAATAAAATTCTCAGTGGTGGGAGAACAGTGCTTGTCCAGCATTCTTAAGGTCCTGGATTTAACCCAACACTGTAAAAACATGCAGGTTCTGAAAGCAAAAATAAAACGCTACTCATGAGTACTGGACTCCTAACAAATGTCCCCACCATTTTAATCTTTGTCACTTGTCATGCCTGCTACCTGCTAGCATTCCAAGAAATGCAGACTGAAAGACAGTGGTTGTAAAGTAATAAGATGGATCCAGGAGTCCACACTGCCTTGATTCAGGTAGTAATGGAGCTATGGTAATAATACCTCCTTATCTAGGCAGTTTCTGGCAAGGGGTCCACTCTGTGGGATGCTGAAGAGGATGAGGGTGAGGGAAGCTGGTACACACTATCACATTCCTGCCCAGTATTTATAACATCTACTTGTTCAAATTGGTGGCCACTCAAGCTTACATAGTTCCCCTCAACTACAAAAGGAACCTCAGAAATATGCTTTGGAATAGTATTCTTTGTTTCAACAGGAAAATATATATGTAGTCTAATAATATAAAAATTTAAGGAAATTTAAAGTAACTTTTTACAGAAAAACAGCATTCCTGGAGCATTAAATGTCCCAGTAACAAAATACAGACTTTCGAGCAAGAAGGGTGGCCTCTCTTCTGCTGAGCTTTATTTACTCTACCTGAGAGGAAGTCGGTGCTTTTCCCAGACACAGTCCCAAGGAACTCCCCATTTTCACCTCTGCTTCCTCCAAAGTACAAGCATCTGGTACTATGAGGAAAATTGATAACCAAGTGACTATTTTGAATTCCTATCTCTCTTAGCAAAATGACATTATTTTCTTTAAAAAGCCAAGAGGGTCAAGGCTGGGTTGTAGCTCAGTAGGAGAGTCTGTACTTAACCCGGGGAATGCCCTTAGTTCCATACAGCACCCCCACACCATTATAAGATTTTTATACACACTCTAAAGAATAGAATATTGGGGAAAAAAGGTGAGTTGTGCTTCATGTGAAAGTATCCCATGTACGGTAGTTATGTTTAATTTCCATTATCTATTATCTTGGACCACAATGCTAAGAAACATGATTCATACTTAACATAACTTGGCCAAAGACTTGTTTATAGGCATTAAAAAACCCTGCATAGTGGACTGGCTTCATCCACATTTAAAGTTGTGACAGTTGAGCACCATCAATCATTAGATTCGTCTAAGACTGAATCAGGTCTGATGACAAGACGGGTCAGAAAAGCGAGAAGCAAATACTCTAGTCAAAACTGGTATCACAATGGAATAAACGAGCAGAGATTAAGACATCAAGTAATGAAGATCCTTAGACTACACCGTGACTACACCAAGGACTGGGGCATCTGAAAGAGTTTTTACTTAGGTGTAAGGCTTTCTGTAATGAATATGATATCTGGATGGAAATATGTCCATAAGTCGGTTTCCCAAAGATAACTTAGGAATGTGAGATACTGACACCGTTATTTACTGTTACACATGTTCTGCATGACAACCTGCTAGTCTTTGAAACTGCCAAGATTTACCTGGACAAAGAAGCTTCCCGTTTCTATCAATGGGTCTCAAACAGCTGTTCTCAGCTGTGAATGAAAAAAAGGTGGTTAACTACTAAACAAAGAGCTCTAAAGCAATGTTCTACTATATTAATTACAAGAAGTACAATAGGCTAACCCCCAGTCCTCAAAAAGCAAAACTTTGGATGAATATAGTGGCTTTATACTATACCTGTAATCTCAGTGTTCACTCAGGAGGTCAAGGAAGAAGGGTCATGGATTCAAGGCCAGCTTTGGTTACACAATGAGATGCTGTCTCAAAAATCAGAACAAAACAAAACAAAACAGATTGCTTCAAAAAAAAAAAAAAGAGCTTCATATGTGGTTACCTTTCGCAGTCATACAGGACTATATAAATAGCTGAAATGGTTCAGTGAGAAAATTACAACTAGTCAATGACTTTAGCATGTTTTTCCCATATATATATATGGAAAAGAAAAAAGGTGAAATGACTACATATACATTTAAAATACTAGAAACAGCTGAGCATTTCTGCCTTGCAGAATGCACTGATCTAAAGCAGGGTATGGTGGTACACACCCTACTATAAGCATTTGGGAGAAAGATGCAGGAGGGAGGACTGCTAAAAACCTGAAGCCAGCATGGTCTACACAGTGAATTCCAAGCCAGCCAGGGCTACAGAGTGAGACCTCGTCTCCAAAACAAAACCCGGAAAACAGTCCAGAGTGTGGACAAGAGCTGTCATCCCCTAGGGGGCAGCTGGTGGTAAGGTAGGAACAGTTTTCCTGCTCCCTGGCAAATGTTTGGACTTCAGAGTTGAGCTCAGCTCCTAGGATTATTTCTGTTTACTGTCAGGAAAAAGATCTGAGAGCTCTTTCAATGTGAAGTCTTTCTCTAACATCATTTCCTCTGGGATATTTTTGCACTTTTTGTCACAACTACCATCCTCACATAGATCACTAAATTTACTTTCAGCAAGTTCTATTGCTGCATGTCTGGAGCCTTTAGTGACAGTTATGTCACCATTCCTGTGGACAGCAGCTGCTTCTATATGGTGACTTCAGTTTCTCTGGGTGCTTTCTTTCATGATCAATTCTTATACGATATCAGATAAGCTAATAGCTGGGAGAAGAGGTAACAGAACTACACACTTTACTGTTTGTGTGCAGAAACGAATGAGACATGTGAAGGAGTGTGACTGGCCTCATTTGCACATGCAGAGTAGTAAGTGGATATGCTTTAGCCAAAGACACACTGAAATCTGAACAATTTAACTGAAATTCATGCAAACTGTAAGTGTGCAAAGTAGAGCACCTGCATTTCAAATATCCTTAGCAAATGCACGAGGCTAGTATGCATTGCTGAGGATGCAGACCTCTGATCCTGAGGAAAGACTAAGCTTTTTGGCCCCAAATGAATTCTTTCAAAGCAAGGAGTGAACTTAGAAGGAAGGCCTGCCAAGACTTCTGAATGGGCAAGAATGTCACAGGCTTAAAATGGTCTAACTTTCTTAGAGTGAAAACACATTGTCTTCCTGAGACTCCTGATTTCTATCTTGTATACTATGCTGTTATAAAGCTGACATACATTTTAAGTACAAATTTCTTGATAAAGAAGTAGATAAAAGTACTTTCCTAATTTAAAAAGTAGGTTTTAAATACTATGTTTTCAAAATCATGTGTTTCAGTCCCAGCCGGGTATGATACTGCATGTCAGCAACTTGGCCTACTGCAGGAGAGTTGCTTAAGGCCAGAAATACAAGGTTGAAACAGGGCAACATAGCAAGACAAGCCCTCATCTCAGTTACAAACAAAGAAAACCAGCTTTCATTTTCACTCAAGTATTTTCTATGTATTTTGTGCCAGAAGCTACGCTACAGAGGTAAGCCCGACATCATGGACTCTGCCCTCACAGAGCCTCATCTAATGGGAGGGGTGAATGGTAATGGCACAAATAAAAAGGCAGTTTGCAGAGTACACGGTGCTATGGGTGAAGCAAAGGACTGAAACTGCAAGATCAGAAATAGAAGAACATGTTTAAGAATGAATGAACAGCTCAAGTTAGAAGGTAAGAGTGAAAAGGCAACAAGAAAGTTCAGAGATCAAAGCATGGAGTCTCCAGGTAGATGAGAGCTTGTGCAAGGGACTCGCAAAGCAGTCTGCACAGTCGAATAAACAGAGTGGTGGCAAATGGGGTCACAGGTAGGCAGGCCCCGACTGTAGGTACCATAGAGAGATAGCTTTAGGGTAGGGAAAAGCAGAGGAGCTTTGTCAGAGAGCAGGGTCTAGTTCATAAAGTGGAGAGGATCCTTCGCTGCAGGAGACATGAAGTGGAGGGAGAAAATGTGTCAAGATAAGGAAGTCAGTTACTGGGCACAGTACCGAGCCAGTATTCTTTAATAAACCATATGCCTTTGATAAATTTTATGATGTATTTTACTTACACTAACATATATCTAGTCTAAGAGCACAACCCAAAGAGCTTGATGAACATATACGCACTCACACCCAGCTGTATCATCCTCAAATTCCCCCATGCTACTCTGCAGTCAGCCCCACATCTGCTTTCTGTGACTATAGCTTAAACTTGGGCTTTCTAAAACAATGCCTGTGTAGAAACATAGTTCATACTTGCTTGTGTAGATTTCCATTCAGGCTGTGTGTGGTGAGTGGTGTTCTGCAGACAGCAGTGTCCCTGACTAGCTGCTTACTCACAGATGTGGATTGTTTCCAGTTTAGGGTTATGATGTTGCTTTCTTTCTTTCTTTCTTTCTTTCTTTCTTTCTTTCTTTCTTTCTTTCTTTCTTTCTTTCTTTCTTTCT